TGTCAGTGTCCTCACGCAGCTCCCGCAGTCAGGCAGTTGGATTAGATGATTGTTGTAGGTCCCTTCCAAACGAAATATTCTATTCTATTCTATTCTATTCTATTCTATTCTATTCTATTCTATTCTATTCTATTCTATTCTATTCTCTACTTTGTGGATAAAGCCAAGCTTTCTTCTGTTGTATTGGGTGTTTCTGAGAGCTGCTTTTAGCTTGTACCTGTGGCCACCTTAGTTGTGTCAAAGCCCTTTCTATATGAGAGGAAAACTACAGAAACCTGCTAGAAACATAGGCATTACTGAGTATTGAAAATGCTGTTGTTTTGCATGCAATGTTCAAAGGTGACCTTTTAATTCCGTTTTGTGATTCCTGTCAGTGTTTTAGAAAAAGTTCACATAATTTCAGGATCCTGTCTTGTAGAAATAGAAAAGAAAAAGTTCCTGCACGTGAGCTCAAGTAGTCACAGGGTGGCTGTCCCAAACAATTACCTGGGGATGGAAAACAGAAATTCTCTTTTTGGGGGGAACAAAGTTCACTTACAGTGCCCTTGTTTTTCTAAACCATGTGTAGAGGATTAAGGCTGGGCTGGCCCCTAAACAAATGACAGACGCTCTTTATTAACCACTCTCCCTTCCCAGAAGGGGAAGAGAAAGAGAATAAGGGAGAGAGACTTATGGATTGGGAAAAAAAACCCTACAGCAACTTTAATGAAATAATAACAATAAAAATAAAATATAAGAATATTAATAAGAAAATAATGAAATCTAGTCATGGCACTTTGGGACATGGTTTAGTGGGCATGGTGGTATTAGGTCAATGGTTGGACTTGATGATCGCAGAGGTCTATTCCAACCTAATGTTTCTATGGTTCTATGATATATACAAAATATATACAAAACCAGTATCAAACTCCTCTGATGATGATCACATCACCACTGATGCTGCAGGGCAGGCACTGGGAAAGTCCCAGACTACACTCAGTGGCAGATGGGAACTGGATTCAGGAACTGGATTCGGGAACTGGATTCAGGAATGCACAGATTGGGATCGAAGGCAGAAGACAGGACTGAGTCCTCCTCAGACATTGTCCGTAGAGGAAGGGGGCTTGACCCTTTGATCCCTCAGCTTTATACTGAGTATGATATGTATGGAATACTTCATGGGTCAGGTTTGGATCACCTGTCCTGTCTGCTCCTCCGTGCAGGTGTGACCTTTTTACTTAGTTACAACCCTTTCACTTTTGGCACTTCAACATGAGGCACAAGATCTAGTAGTGACCTTGGTTTCTGTAGAAGCAAGTATAAGTAAGAGACTTTCTGCATACCATTCCTTAGTAGCAACTATAAACATCAAGCACTAGCATTGCTAGAAGCAGACACTATCTGAAAATACCTGAAAGTATGCAGTTAACTTCAGAAAGTGCAGTCACTTAGAAGAGACTTAGCTGAAAAGTAAAATCATTGAATGGAGAATTGGTTCTTTTCTAGCTCAAACAAGGACACCATGTTTAGGTATTATATCAGAGGTTTTGTGGAAAATATAGATTTAATTTGCTAATGCAGACACTTTACAACAATATGACCTGCATGCTGTCAGTTTGAGCATAAGTATAAGGTGTTCAACAGCAACCAGCAAATTTCCCTGTTCAACTAAATTGCTTTTTAGTGGTCTGTTTTTAATCCCATCTGAAGGCCAACTGATTTTCTGGCTTTCTGTGTTGTTCTATGCAGCATTACCTAGGGAGAGCAGGAATATACAATGTGAATATCTCCTGGGGTTATGTCATATCATATGATATATTACTTATCGTATGCATCATATATCATATCATAGCGCTTGGCCTAATTGTCTTGGCACCAGCAACTTGTTACAAAGAAGAAGAGGCAGTGGGCATTATGGTAAAACCTGCAGAAGTACGTATGTGCTGTTCATACACTTCCTAATACAGGTAGAGTGTGATGTACCTCCTTCAAGAGAGTTCAGTGCTCATGAGTGGAGTGAAACTTGATGCAAGCCCAGCTGCTGCAATGTGAATGCATGGTGTGTATATGATTGATAGATTATGTGCTGGGACCTTCACAGGCAGATAGGAAGGTGCTTTTCTTTCCCCAAGAAAAATTGCAACCCAGTTCCTATAGAAAACATTATGAGAAAAAGAAGCATGGGAGCTTTTCGTAACTGGGTTACAAGATAAATGCTTCCTGTGCTTAGTCTCATTGATGACTAAGCAGAAGAGGGCCATGCAGAAGCACTAAACTAGCCAGCCTGCAGTGAGCTCTCCCCTCTGGGTGGAAAGGGTGAGGAGTCTATGAGCCCTCAAGCCAGGTTTTTACCACAGCATGTTCTACCTAATGATGCACCTTGCATTCTGTTTCCTTCTCAGCACTTGTTGTGGCTGTCCTGCGTTTCATTCAGCTGAAGCCGAAGGTGCTAAACCCTTGGCTGAACATCAGTGGCCTGGTGGCATTATGCTTGGCCTCTTTTGGGATGACCCTACTTGGCAACTTTCAGGTACTGCACTCCAGGCTTGAACTGCTGTGTCTGTGCTGTGAGGTTTCTGCTTTTCTGGTTAGATCTGCTTAGGTCTTTGAATGACCCATGATGTAAACTCAGGAGATAACATGTCTGGCTGTGTCCCAGCCCTTCTTGTACCTGCTCTGCCACCTCTGTTTGCCGCTTAGGTGTTTCTCATGACATGCAGAGATGAAGGGCCACAATCATTTTTCATGTATTCCCAGCAGGATTTGCACCTGCGTGCTTACACTTGACCTGTGAAGAGCCAGAGCAGGGAACCTGTTGAGCCCTGGGTGTTGGCACAGATGATCCTGGGTAAAAAGATTGAGCTGGAAGTTTACGTATGCATCTGTGTGAACAGATGCACAGCTGCCCAAACAGATTTAGCAGACAGCTCAGTGTCCGTTTAAAACATGTGTTGTTTAAATCTACCTCCTGCCTGTCTTCAGCCTGGCCACGAGAGGGACACAGCAGAGGAGTGCTACGACTTCAAAGGCTTCTGATGTGATGAGTGCCTGGATGAGATCCCTCCCATTCTTGATCTGTTCTATAACATTATACAAACTAGCAATCAAGCTGTCAGTGCCACAACGTTGCTCTGAGGGGCTGTGTGTCCACTGTGACCATGAGTGTGTCTGTTAGGTCTGCAGTGAAAATTGAGGCATTAGAGTCAGTGACACTTGGGTTTCACCATCCCTTTGCTGTCTCTGATGCGGTGCCTCTCGCTGGGGTGCAAGTAGTGACCCCCTAATAATGGCAGAAACTGAGAAAGGTCAGTGTAGGCTGGCTTCTTTCCTGGCTTTGCAGGCAGGGAGCTGTTTTTCCTGCCAATACAGGAAAGGTATTTGTTTTGTGAAGGGTGAGTACCTGTTTGGGTTGTGGAGCAATTGCAGGAACTTTGTGCTTGCCTTTTTTTTTTTTTTTTAAATGAGGTGTGAGATAATTTGAATGTTTTGGACCTGGTCTTCCTAACTCCACAGCACAAGCCAAAAACTTGGGAGTCTTGTTTTTCCACAAGAGCTTCCCAGCTAGGAACCATGAGGCTTCTGTAACAGCCTTGTCTGGGTGTGAGAAGAGTATTTCTAGTACAGGGCAGGCACTAGGAAGCAGCTTCAACCTCCCCTTCATTTTTTTGCTCCTCAGAGCAAATGATTGTTATTTAAAAGTGGATACTTTGAATCACGCCTGGTTATAAATTCTCAACTAATTATCCACACCTTGTTAGTTACCTGTATCCTTGCTTATATCTTTTGCCAAATCATGAAAGCATGTGGTAATGAGACCTTGGTCCATGCTTTTCCCTGGCCGACTGCTAAGCTGAATGTGGCATTAAATCATATCTCTGGAAAACTACAGATTTGGTGTGTTAGAGGGACTTTATGGCTGTGAGTCCCTTGCAGTGCAGGCTAGAGGGACATTATGGCTGTGAGTCCCTTGCAGTGCAGGCTACCTTGGGAAAGGCAGCCTAATCCCATTTTTGCTTGTACTATGATTTGGACCTACCCTTGAAAAAAACCTCAAGGTAGGGAGGAGAGGGGAGAGATCAGTGGAGGCACAGTAACTAGACTGTTACCATGTAGATTGTGTCTAATTTGACTGGAATTTGTTAAATCACCGAACAGGAATCAAGGCTGCAGGGAGGAATTACAGACTGCTGGTTTCTTTTCTAGAAAAGCCTCAGAGGCAGAGGGAAAAGTGAAATTGTTTGGCTTAAATTTTGTCCGTGCTGGGCTTTCTGAATGGATTTGCAGCCTCAAGGGATCTCTTTGCAGATTCTTGCTCATGAACCTGGCTGTCCTTTTGCCTTGAGTATTGCACAGTCACTGAGCCCCATGAGACAGAGGAGCCCAAGGAATAGAGAAGCACTTGCACTCCACAGAGGTTGGGTTCATATTGCCTCAGACCCCAGTGGTTGAGGATGGGCAGGAGAGGTAACAGGCAGTCAAGCTTTTTCGTGGGAGAAACTTGTGAAACCAGGAGCATGTGTCTGTGTTTTGGCTTGTGCTAGCTCAAGGGAGGTGTCAGGGCTCTGGCTACCCTCTGCCCTGGGGAGACCTGCTGCATGCAGCTGGCACTGAAGGTTGCACAGTTTGCTTCCATTGCAGGGAGCTGTACAAGGCCCCAGTGGGTTGTCTTTGCCTGCCCTGGCCATCATATCGAGACAGGGAAGGATTTATTTCTGCACTCTGCATTGGTCAGTCTCGTCAGGGAGCTGTGGAGGCAGTCCACAAGCAACTGCATTTTACACTGTGCTTGGGCTTTGGTTGGCCACGAGATCTGGTTGACTGTGACATCTGTCAACGCATCTTGGTTATGTTACAGCTTACATCTCTTCCAGAAGAAATGATACAGCATCTCTGTCTGTATTCCCACTGTCCTCTATCCTGCCTGTTGTGGTTTAAGCCCAGCCTGCAACTAAGCACTACGTGGCCACTCGCTCACTCCTCTGTGGTGGGATGGAGAGGAGAAAATATAACAAAAGGCTCAAGGGTCGAGACAAAGACAGGGAGGGATCACTCACCAGTTAAGGTCACAGGCAAAACAGACTTGACTTGGGAAGAAAAAAAATCAATTTAATTTGTTAGCAATCCAATCAGAGTAGGATAATGAGAAATAAAACCAGATCTTAAAAACACCTTCCCCCCATCGCTCCCTTCTTCCTGGGCTCAACTTCGCTCCTGATTTTCTCTGCCACCTCCCCACCAGCAGGCACAGCAGGACGGAGAATGGGGGTTGTGGTCAGTTCATCACATGTTGTTTCAGCCATTCTTTCCTCCTCATGGGGAGGACTCCTCACACTCTTCCTCTTCTCCAGTGTGGGGGTCCCTCCCACAGGAGACAGTTCTCCATGAACTTCTCTGATGTGAGTCCTTCACATGGGCTACAGTTCTTCACAAACTGCTCCAGCGTGGGTCCCTTGCAGGGGGTGCAGTCCTTCAGGAACAGACTGCTAAAGCGCGGGCTTCTCCCAGAGTCACAGCCTTCTTCAGGCACAACCACCTCCTCTGGCGTGGGGTCCTCCACAGCTGCAGGTGGGCATCTGCTCCACTGTGAACCTCCATGGGCTGCAGGGGGTCAGCCTGCCATCTCACCACGGGCTGCAGGGCACTGGCACACCTCCTCCCCCTCCTTCCTCACTGACTTGGGTGTTTGCATAGTTGTTTCTCGCGTATCCCCGCCCCCCCACCCTGTGACAGGTTTTTCTCATAGTTTCTTTTTTCCCCACTTCTTAAATATGTTATCACAGAGGCACTACCACCATCACTGATTGGCTTGGCTTTGGCCAGAGGCAGGTCTGATGTGGAGCCACGGAAGCTTCTAGCAGCTTCTTATAGTAGCCACCCATGTAGCCCCTCCCCTGCTACCGAAACCCTGCCACACAAACCCAACACACCACCTCAGCAGCAATCCAATGTAGCTAGCAGATAATTTCTGTTTTGTCCAAACAATAACCATTTTGTTTGTTCCTAGCTTTCAAACGATGAGGAGATCCACAATGTGGGCACATCGCTGACCTTTGGCTTTGGGACCTTAGCATGCTGGATCCAGTCTGCTCTCACCCTCAAGATCAACCTGAAGAATGAGGGACGGAAAGTCGGGATTCCACGAGTCGCCTTGTCAGCCAGCATCACCCTCTGCGTGGTGCTCTGTATCCTTTTGTCCTGCTCCTGGGAAAGTCAGGTATACATGTCCAGCACTCTCTGCAGCAGGGAATGTTGGCTCTTCTCATATCCGTCCTAGGATCTCAAAGGAATGCTACTCAGCTTATCTTCATGGCATGATCCTATGATTGGCTCATTTTGCTACTTGTGTTTTACCAGGATGCACTGCTTCACTGATGGGCTCACTTCCTTCATAGATAAAGTTCTAAAACTTCTTAGTGATATCCAAAGTGGTTATAATATTGAATAGATTCTGTGCAATTTAATGGCACCACTGCTTACCTATGCAGTCAGTAGCTTTTAAGATTATGCAAAATATTAGGATAAAAAAATCTCAGCAGAACAAAGGAATGAATCAGGTTTCTGAAGATGAGAAGATTTTGATGTGTTTGTTGAAATGCTCCAGCATGCTACATCCAGCTCTGCCTTTTAAGACAGTTATTATAGTCAAGAGTTGCTGTGTCATGTGGACTTCGGGTAAGACTAGGTGCTTTACAAATGGGATTTGGCCTGTGAGGTCTGTTATCACTCAAACTGGATGTACATGTGGCTTCCTCTCCACTTTGTGCCTGTCAGCCGCACTCCAGCCCTTCTGTTCACACCAGCACTCATGTGTCCTGGGTGTTTGTTTAGGGTGGATCCATTCACTGCATAGTTGCACCAACATTAGTGCTGGGATAAGCATGAGGGCAGGAATAAATGGGGAGGAATAAGTTAATCCCCCTCTTCAGGGAACAGCCTGTTCTTAAAACAGTTCCTTAGTCACTTGCCTGGTTTTGAACATTTCAGCCAGTGTCCAGAGGAATAGCAGATTGGTGTGAAGATGTACCATCAGTTGCCTCTTAAGCTTGCTTAGAAAAATTTGTAGCTGAGCATCATGCTTTGGTGTACGTAACATGGGAGTTTGACTGTTCGTGTGGTGCTCCCTTCTGCCCCTTGCCCCAAGCCCATAGCTCCCCCAGGGTGTGTTTGGGGTAGGAGCTGGGCTGGGTTCTTCCTGCGCTGCCATCTTCAGAGGTTTCTTCCAGGCTGGGAGCAGGAGCAGGCAGGTAAACCAGGGCATAGCTGCTCCTGTATTGACATGCTGGGTGCTCCCAGCGCAGCCCTCCCAAGCAGGCTGCTTGGCACTCAAGGCTTTGGGCCCTCTGTGGAAGGGGACAGGCTGAGGCAGGTTTCCCGCTGCCGCCCCCCACTGACTTTGCGAAGGCTTGGGGCTGGCTCCCCGTCCCATGCAGCTTGTGTATAACCCTCGCACTACAAGGAAAGCGGAAGATCCTTAAAGCCAGACACAGAATGCTGTTCATCGAAATGAAGCTTTGGTTGCTTATACTAAGCCCAAGATGAAAAGTCTCTGATTACCTGCTTTGTGCAGTTAAAGCATGGGAGAGGCTGCTTGTTTGTTTTACCTGTGAAGATGTGTGATCCTGCATTCTTGGACTGCAGAGGAAATCCTGAGAGACAGGTGAGCCAGTAGGTTTAGAGATGTGCATTGGTCTACGGCAGGTCCCCAGCTCAGGAGGGTGTCCTCTGCTTTAGGGAAGCTGAAAATTGCTTTTATGGAGTACTCCAAGGCAACTCGAGACACAGCAGTTAGACCCTGATGCCAGGCAATATGCAGTCCAAGCACACAGGTATATGAGCCTGGAGGACAGTTTCTGGCTCTGACAGCATTCTTTTTCATTTCAGTATAACATGCCATACTGTGTAGACTGATGCTTCCAGATTTCACAACAAGGGATGATTCTGCAGGTGATTTAAAGAGAATGAAAGATTGCAGAATGCAGGTTGAAAGGTGTTCCCATTGCCTGCAGTGCAGACATCTGATCCAGTTCCCATTGGGAGGCTCCTGGCAGGTGGGGGGCCCACAGCCAGATCCCCAGCTTGCTGGCTCCAGCTGGCTAGTTGGATGTTCGAGCAAGTCTTCTCTGCGCCTAAGTCGTTCCCTCTGTAAATGTTTATCAGCTTGAATGGGATCAGGAAGCCCTGAGTCTGTATAGGAGAGCTGCTGCACTCCGTGGGCACCTGACATCCCTTCTATCTCTGGCACCACATTCGCACTATCCTGATGATGGCTGGCTGGGTTGACTGTCATCCACATGACTTTGATTGCTAAGATTTTATTGTCTTCCCTGTTGGCTTTCTGTCATCCTGATCAGTGTCTCTGCTCCTGCTAGTTCTCCTTGACTTTCGTGTTCCAGATTTCATCCTCATGGCGCAGGGCATTCACATGCATGCTTCCAGGATCCAGTGGGGCCTGGTCATGTGCTTCCTGTGCTACTACGGCACCTTTGCAGTGGAGTTCAGGCACTACAGATTTGAGATCGTTTGCTCTGAGCACCAGGAAAACTTTCTGAGCTTTTCCGAAAGCTTATCGGAAGCCTCTGAGTACCAGACAGATCAGGTGTAGCCTGTCCTCTGGCAGGGGGGAGGGGGGCAGGTGTGGTCTCATGGGTTAAACATGACCTCATTTACACTTTTTTGATGAGTTTGTTTTCATGTGCAATCATGATCTTATTGCCAAAGGGCTCTGAGGGTGTTTGTCTCATTAAGAGCCAAACAAAAATAGCTGTCTGCTGGAAGAGCAGTGGATCCTTATCAGTGGCAGCACGAGAAAGCATAAGCTGTTTAGTTTGTGCTAACAGTGACTCTTTCTGACTGTCACACTCCTGTTGTTCAAAACATTCAACAGCCAGTCCTTGTGATGCCCCTCTTAGACAGGCACTCCTCAGCCTGTTCTGCAGAGGAGGAGATGAAGGAAAAGGACTTCTCCAGGCACCAAGAGTCTTCAGGAGTCGCCAGTTCCCGAGTCATGAGACTACATCTTTCATGTGTTTCTTGTGTCGTTTTCTTTGTTGCCAACTGGTGTAACTTGGTAGGATGAGAAAGAGTGGCTGTTTCTTTTTGACTTGGAATCAGGCAGTGGAAGATCCCAACTGACTGGCTTTTTTGGCAAGCAGGCAGGCATTTCTTCCAGTCTGGAAAGCAGCCAATGTTTGAGAGAAACTGTGCTGTGATCAGGAAGCGAGACTTGGCCAATACTGCCTCGTAGCTGGGCAGACCGTCCCCAGGCCCGAGGAGATGGCACAGTGGGGTGCTGTGCTCAGCTTCGTATTTCAGACTCAACAGTGCGGGCTGGTGGAAGTGAGGTGCTGAATTAAGATGGGAATGCCTGTGTGCTCTAAAGATGACCCAGAAAAGCCTGCTCTTTCTAAGTGTGTGTGTGTAGTGCTTCCACCACGTATCGTGTGTAATATTTCAAAAGCTTTTTTTGTTCCCTGAGGGGGAAAACATTGTATTAGAGATGCTGGGCTTGCCTGCAATGAGAACAGAACTGTTGCAGGTGGTTCTGGGCATAGGGTTTGGTTTTGCTCCTTGTGTGCTTAGAAGTCAAACATCAGGCATGCTGACACTAGGCCTGGGCTCTGGACCCCTCGGTGTGGCCAGTTGTGCTGAGTGGAGTCTGCCACAGGTTTAAGTGGGCTTCCAAGGTGCAGGGAGGCAGTCCTGACCCAGAGGTTAGGTGATGTGGCCTGAGGGCTGGAGGTGCAGAAAGTGAACAGCACAACTAGAAACCAGAAGGGCTTCTCTGTCCCTGAAGGGAGTTTTTCAAACAGAAGGTCTGTTTTCAAAGAAGCAGCAGGAGATTGAAGGCCCTGTTTGAAAACCTGATTTTGGGAAGGCTGCTGTATTGGCTGGGCAGGGTAGCAATGGGAGTTGCTTCTCATGAATATGGCTCCTGTTTTCCTCCACCAGTCAGGTTCAGCTTAGGTTTGCATCTTGTCTGAGCTGCAGGAAAATAACCAGAAATTAAAATGGTGGCAAAAGGCACGTGAAGGGGAACTTGTACCGCACCATGCCATTTCTGACAGAGAGGGAAAAGGCACAAGGGCATTCAGTCTTCTGCAAAGGTGAGAGGCCTCTCCTGAAACAGTTGAGAAAAACTTCTGTGTAAGTAGAAAGCTTTCAGACAGCCCTTTACTTTATCTTCTGTGGGCCAAAATTTGTTCTCAGGAAGCTGTGTTATGAATGCAGAGTGCCAACAGAGGGTTGCCATTGGACTGACGAAGGCCTCCTCCCTGTAGCTGTTTCATAAATGGCAAGTTTTCCTAGCGGGATGTGCTGAGGGTGGCCCAAGGGCACAGCAGCGTAAGGCGCAGGGCTCCCCAGCAGACCCTCTGGGGAGCTCTTCCTGGACTAGGGCACGAGGGGACAGCCTGGAAAAGATGCAGGTGGGGATCCTCTTACACAGGCACACACACTCAATGCATATGGAGCACAAAATAGCCATTTCTTTTAAGGGTGTTTTACTGCAAATAGTACACTGTGACTTTTTTTTTTTTTTTTTAATCAATTAATACTTTGTTTATAATCTTATATTTTGTAATTTTATCAAAGGGAAAAAAAGATTGTGATTTTTTTTTTTTCCTTTCTCTCCTTTTCCTATATGCAATCCAAACTGAACTTCAGGTTTTTGGTGATAACTCTGTACATTTCTTAGAGTATTTCTAACAGCACATTTCAGTACAACTAAATGACAACTGATACACACTGAAACGTGACCATTAAATAAAGTGCTTTTATGGAGAAAGTGAGTTTTATTTTTGTCCCCTACCCCATGCATAGCTTTCTTATGGCAAAGGCAAAACAAAAGGTGAGTATTTACAGTGTCATGATTAAAATTAACACTTAAGGAAGCCAGGGACTATTCAGCCGTGCAGATACACTTACTCTAACAGTGCCAATTAGCAGGCTTTTTCTAGGAGGAGGATCACACTCATTACACAGCCCAGGAAGGCATTCAGAATAGCTGCCTCACAGCCTTACCTGCTACCATGAAAGTTTTAGAAGGGCAATGCTGGCATGATGTTCTTTCCTCACAAAATGCCTATCTTGTTCTCTACATAGCAGCATCCCTCAACAGGGACAGCTGTAGGTGCAGATCAGAGCTCAGGAAGGCAACACCTGTTAGTATTCTATTTTGGCTGTCTGTGAGGGCAAGCTCAAGCACAGCCGCACAGAAATTAGTAAGTAGCAAGAGATACCCACACACAAAGTGCCAGCAGCAGGGAACTGGGGTTTCAGACTGCCTCTGCCTCCACTGTTACTAGGTATAACCTAGCTGTGGCTCTCACTCCTGCACCCCCACTGAACTACTGAAATCGTAAGATGGTCAGGGAGCGTCCTTGACAGGACAAGGTTGTCTGCCTTAAAGAAAGGACTGGAGAGGGTGAAAGCAAGAAAACAGTGTTCGCACGTTTTAAAAAAAAAAATTTGCCTTCAGGTGCTATGATCACTGGTGATAAACAGGAAGCCTAAATACTGGGATGGAGTGAACACAATGAAAGCAAAGTTGTGTTTTTATTTACTACATTAGGAAAAGCTCCATGACCTTCTGAAATAAACTGGCACAAGTTAAATAGGATGACGAAAAGGTCAGAGTTTTAGTAAATGCAGCAGGATAAGTCCTCAGGACCAGTTGTTTGTCAAGGCTTGCTCACAGCTGACCAGTGCTATTGAACATGTGACAGGGTGATGCTGGGTACTGAGGAGCTCCATGGATTAATGCTAAGGGAGATACTTGAGCAACACAGTCAAACTGACTTTGGTGTTCAGCCGGTTGGAACCCATAGCCCAGCACTGTGATGCAACATGAAGTGGGTCTAGAATTTAATTTTTAAAGCTATAGTTATATATACTCCATTTTGGTAGGCTGGTTGTGTAGCTCTAAGCAGCTTCCATATGCAAGTTGTACTGTTTTGTACCTAAACCTGCTGTGGATATAGCCAAGATTTAAGTTGTTCCTGGTCTAAAAAGGTTGCCTGCAGCAACGGCTGGCTGCTTTTGTGGCAGCCCAAACCTACTGTTATTATAGCTGATATTTGGCATTTTCCTTTGGGCATCCTACCCCCCCTAACTTTGAAAGTTTTGACTTAGCCAGCATCCCTGTCTGCAGGGAGAAGCTCATATCCCCTCATGGTCCCCAGAGATCCCTCTGGGACAGGGGGACAAACACTTTGGAGACTGTTTCTAAAAATGACAGAGCTCATGGTGGGGCGTCTTAGCACCAGATTTCCATGGGTGAGTCTGAAGGAAGTATCCACTGATCTAATTGCTAGCTGGGAAAGGGGAGGAACAGCAGGGCTCATGGGTGCTGCTCCTCACCCTCTTCCCCATTCCAGCTGGCTGCTGCAGGCCTCTGTCCTACTGCTCAAGGGACCCCACACCATACTCTCCATCCATACATGCCTGCACTAGTCATGGGTCCAAGACATGATATGGGTTTGGCTTTAAATTCTGATTGTAGACAAAATTACTTAATGTTACACAAGGACAATTTAGGTGAAGTAGAGTCTTTTGTGTGTGCACTGCTTTCCCTAAGTGGAGGAAGGCAGGAAAAGTTCGGTGAAAGACGAGATCAGGCTGTAATACGACTTCTCATCATCTGTCAGTCCTGCGTTGCCTGGTCTGGTCACCACAGCCACATGAGTATCTGCTTCCTCAGCTGCGTTGGCTTCTGAAACAGAGATGGGGAGACGGGAGATGAGATGTGCTTGCCAATCTCGCCACATGAGCATCTTTAAGGCTTGAAGATGCCCCAAAACACTGCAGTGCTTTTAAAGGTTAACACTGAGAAAGCAGCGTTTGCATGTGGTGCTGCAGGGCTCTAGAGAGGGATCAGCTCCCAGCAGACCTGCTGTGGATGACTGTAGCTGCCACGTAACACGAGCGAATGGGAGCTGCTTGCCCCACCATCTCCTCGCCATTCCCAGCTGATGGCTGTCCAAGGCACTGTGCAGACAGCACGCACCAGTAGCTGATTTCTGTCAGGAGGAAGATGGGCTGTGGTTGGGCTGTGGCATCAGCAAGTCCAATGCTCCCCCACTGAGAGTCACTTTCACAAGTTTCCTTCACTCCCTGAGCACAGCAAGAGGCCACAGGAAGATACAGGGAAAAGGAAGTAACTGCAAGCTCCCACCAGCTCTGCTGCCATGGCTCGGGAGGAGGTGAGGGCTAACTCCTGGGGACTGAGCTGGCTTAGACTGAGACCACAACCCAATACAGAAAGATGTTTGCAGCAAAGGCAGTAAACTAAGTTAGCTTCCTGAGCCTGGCTTTCCAGGGGTCAAGTCTTTGCGACCAGGATCAATGTTTTCCTGCTGCTGAACACAACCTAAGTGGCACAAAAAACCAGCCACCACGTGTGCTGCAGAGCAGACATTGTCTGTTCCCCCAAGCACAGGTCACAAAACCCACTGACACTGTTTGTAAATGCAGCATGCTAACTGCTTCAGCAAATGCTCCACTCCACTTGAACAGTCTCTCCTTGCTTGCTGGTGCAAGGGCAGGTTTTCTACTCAACCTATTGTCCTTCATTGCAGCACTGCTCACAGATAACCCACTGCTGTG